GCCCTCTACAGATGTCAAGTAGTTCGGAGACTTACGACATCAACTGTGACCCACCTAGTACGACAGAAATCATCAATGCAGTCACTTCTCTGGAAAACAGGAAGGAAGACGGGATACCACCAGAGTTATTCAAAGCTTGCTCACCAACTCTGATCAATCCACTGCAAAAAGACTGAACAGCTTCAATTTTAGTCCCGGTGCCGCTTCGCAGTCGTCAGAGATACCCACACTCGTCCGAAACAAGGGGGGTTTCGCCGCGGAAGAGGCTGTGTTGAACAAATCTCCACTCTCTGTAGAATTCCGGAACACCACTTCATGTTCCAACAGCCTACCACTGCATTTTTCATTGACTTCCGCACTGCGTCGATAGAGAATCCTTGTGGTGCATATTGCGGTAAGACGGGATGCCTGAGAAGTTCATCAGGCTCTTCAAGTCATTCTACTCAGGAACCCGGGCACGCGTCCGTACCTATGGAGAAGAATCGGTTGAGTTTATCCTACACTCTGGAGTTAGGCAAAGTTGTTCTCTATCGCCGGTGTCATTCAATTACACCGTAGATTGGATAATGCGACAAGCACTTATCAACTACTCTGGAGTGAATCTTGGCCCAGGTACGTGGACTGCGGACCTCGAGTTTGCGGATGATGTCGTTGTATTTGGAGACAGCATGGACAACCTCAAGCCTGTTGTCAGTCGTATAAATCAGTTTGACCAGTCCATTGGGCTAGCGATCAACACGTCGAAAACGAAGACATTTTCGACCGAAACTTCTACCATGACACAAACCTCGATTAATGGGGAGCTTGGCGAATCAGCCAAAGTTTTCAAGTATCCCTACGATAAGACCAAACGGCCAGGCTAAGGATGAAATCCAACTCCGTGTAGACGGAGCTGGAATAGCCTACCTAAAACTCCTCAAACAGTTGTGGAATTGATGCGAAATAAGCCTAAACGCTAAGCTTCGGGTTTATCAGGCTTCCATCCGAACCATCCTCACTTACGGTTGTGAAACCTGGCCGCTAAAAGTACAAAACACAAGGAAGCTCGAAGTCTTCGATCATTGGTGCTTACGCCGCATCTTAAAAGTAAATTGGAGAGATCGGATTTCCAATGATGAGGTTCGACGGCACTGCTTGAACATTGACAAGCTTAAAAGTTGCTACAACGCCGGTGCCTTCAGTGGTTTGGCTATGTGCTTCGAAGGCCCCCGACACTCAACTCTCGCGACAAGCTGTAGCCCCCGCATTGTGCCATGGATTGCGTTACCGACTCGCTAGTCAACTGAAGACCTGGAGTAGTACGATCAAGGTGGATTTGGAATTACTGGGTCTTCATTCCGTATATGGAATTCGCAACTGGAACCAGAACTGGGTTTCTCACGGCGTCAGCCTTGCTACCGATCGTTATGCATGGGCCGCCATCATTAGAGACATCCAAGAAGCCGACTTATCCTGCCACAGGAGTGAGTCGATCAAAAGTAAGCTTCTTTGGAGGGCCGAAGCTCACCTTATTTACGGTTAGCCGANATACAGCTCTGCTCCCCTGAGAAGTTTTCCATCAGTTGATAGCAATTGCTTCTTCAAACATCAGCAATCTTGCGATTCGACTTGTAGATAATCCGAAACACCGTGCTTCCGTTGTTCTGATGTTGTCATTAGACGATATTCAGTTATGGCTGATGACCCAGTCTTGTATTTTCGACCGTTGTTCGTACGCATGTGTGTGCAATACGAAAGTGCTTGCCGTTGAAACTGATTCAGTTCGAACGATGAGAGATTTTTAGCAAATTTCTCCGGTTGTTTCGGAAATGAATTTTCTACTAGTCTATGCAATAGCTATATCTGGAGCTTTCTTATCGTACATAATCTTGTTTCCTGGACATAAGTTACCCTACTTGATTTTTCATAATAGGTTCAATGCGGCCAAAATCACCGGTTGCTCAGTGAAATTGGTTTGAAGCGCTATCAGTCGTCCTTCGGCGTCATCGACCTGACAATCAATATCAGAAGCACAAATAGTATTGGACACCAAAGATGTGCTAAATTAATCGGAAACCCGCAACACCTCACGCAGTGCTCGAAGATGATACGGAATCGAATCACAGCAATCTTGTAACACAAATTGACCCGAGAGACCCGGAAGCACTTTCCGAGAGACGAGATTCGAGAAACAAGTGTTTCTCGCCATAAAACATCACAATCATCATCATTTAGTACGACCTCCACTACCTCCTTTATGATGTACCTGAATAGTAGTAGGTTTATATGCATAAGCGTCAAACAAAACCATCCAAGTATTAGGTTCAAATTTCATCGTCCACAACCATCGATCATGAATTTTTATGCGCCGGTTTCCGTTTCCGTTACCGTTTTCGTTTTGACAACCTTTAACTATGCACTTTCGTGCGCCGGTTTTGGTTGCTGTCTTTTGGCTACCCATGCGGATAGGAGAAAAGAATGAAGATTGGAATGTTGAGAGTAAGTTCAAGTGGAAGACACAGATTCCATACAGACTGGGGTTGCCAGATTCATGAGTACCACTGCTTGTGACACCCAGTCATATCGCTCAGTGTCTCAAACCACCGGTGACCCTGATCTCGAGTTCCCCATCCAGGGAGCCTAAGGGGACCTATGTGACCCCGTCTCCTGGTTAGGGTTTTCATGCCATCGTGAAAAGTTATTGGGCGATATACGTAGCACATTTCCCAACCACTGTAGTCTATGGAGGTCGATCTGTTGCTCCAGTGAACGACCGCGGTTACCTAAAATCCTGCGTCTAACCTTAAAGTTCCTTGTCCGGTTAAACCAGAAGGCTCCTGCAATGCGACGTAGACCGTGATGTTCGAACGCCGACAATCTATTTTTATAATGTTCCCGAAGTGTCCAAGTCTCTGAACAGTATAGCAGGAGTGGCCGAACTGCTGCAACATATAGTCGACTGAGTCGAAAGCCGCTCTCAGATCCAGGAAGACAGAGATAGTGGGTCTACGAAAATGGCGATGCTCCAGAATTTGGTGAGGAGTGAAGACGTGGTCGATACAACCTCGACCAGATCTAAACCCAGTCAGGTTCTAATGTGCGCACTCTTCACGTGTGACAGAAAATCGACGGAGTATGATGCCAGCGAAAAGTTTGGAAGCAATGTTGTTTAAACTAATTCCTCTATAGTTTTCACAAAAGGACCCGTGGCCTTTCTTGTAAATCGGTATGACGGCCGATTCGCACCATTCAGTTGGACCCTGTTCCGCTTCCCACACTGAGCCCAGGAGCTTCGCTATCTCTGAAAAAGACACAGAGGACAACCGTGACAAACACCACTTTCCGTGGTAAACTCGGGCGAAAAGGTGCAGTGGAATCGCACTCGGCTTGAAGCAGCAGCAAAAGGGTACAGCGAAATTGCGATTAACTTCTCATGCTCCGATTCCGGCGGACGCAACTCCAGAGTTTAGGGCAATCGACCAAAGACCGCATTCCGACGGTGGAAGATACAGACGGTGGGTGTTTTGCCGGAAGGTGGAAATGCGGTGGATGCACCCTCGACCGGGGGTTAAACCAGCTTGATTCTTACGCGTGCATCGCAGACCATGGTAGACCATTGTTGGAGTATGATTCAAACGAGAAGCGTGGGGGCAACACGGATTAAATTCAATTCCCTGTGGTTTTCACAAGCGAATGTCACCTTTTTGTATCACAGTAAGATGACGATTCACCATGATTCATATGGAATCCTTAGTCAGAAAGATGCTTTCGCATTCACTCTCATTCTGTATCACGAGGTATATGAGATTAGGGACCGATACTGTCATTCGATGCAGCGGCAAACAATACATTGGATCGAAACTCAAAAGCCTTGCTTAGAAGGTAGAAGCTCCCACAAGGTCGGGCCGGTTGAGCCGCCGCATTTGACAACGCAGCACTAGCTTGTGGGTCAGACTGTTGAGGCGATAGCTCCAGTTAAGGTTTCTAAATACAGACGCACACATTCCCGCTGCCTTAAGACTCAGGGTTTAGAGTCACAGGATTTGGACAGGGTTCCCGAAGAAAAGTCTTTATCGGTGTGAGCTACCACAATGTATGTCGTGCCCTAAGGACTCGAGCATCCATTTAGAAAATCCTTCCTCATTTTTCCAGTTCTTGCTCTCACTCCGAAGTCTCCTGGTTGTATCAGGCACCAAACATCATTAAGCCTTTTACCAATAAGGCCAACCAATCGGGATTTGTAGGGTTGTCGAAACCTGAATCCTCTTTTCCCTTAGCCGCGTCCGCGCATCCTATCAGATCGGTCAAAAAGATGTCTAAGCTCGAACCCTTAAAACTTCCAATTTAGATGTATGTTGTGTCTCCAAAACTCGCATACAAGACCCCGATTTAGTAATCATCGTGCTATCTCCTTAACAGCTGCGTCGTCAATTACTCCCTATCTGCTGTAGACTGGCTACCAAGCAGATCGCGGGTTAGTAACACAACTCCGATTGGAAGGATTCTAAGATTTTCTAGGGCGATGGTAATGAAGCACTGAAAGTCTGCTGTCAGGGGAAAGAGGTCTACATCAGTCTGGCGTTGCCGTGGTAACCACGTGGAACAGTCAATCGGTAATTTATTAGATCATCATCAACTATTGTGTTTCCTGCAGTAGGCACCAGCTCAGATACAGGGAAATGGGATCAAAATTAAATCATGGGCAATTGCATTGTTGTTCTTTATTTGGACAGCTTCAACTTAAGCAATGATGTCTACGTTCCCCATAAACGAGATTATACAGATGGAAAAACCAGCGTACCTTGATTTTTAACTTTTTCAACAGAGCATTTACATCGTCGAATGATCGATAGTCAACCATAGATTGTTCCAAGGAGAAGTGAATTTTATGGTCCAACTCATGAAGATGTTCCAGGAAATCTTGTTCCGTAACTGGTGTGAGTAAGATATGCCTGAAGACAGGTGAAAGAAGACGATATAACAAAGACAGAAAGCGCGCAGGAATTCTGAACAGATGAAAACTCATCATTATTTCGTAAACTGACAGAGGTTATGCATATAACTGGATCGGCCACGCATAAAATAATTAAAATTACCGATGCACCAGATTTGTCCAAAAATAAAACGTTTGAATGCCTGATTGAACACTAAAAACATGTTTTATTCGACATGCGTTTCAGTTCAAATCGGGTACCATGCAAATACGGGTACCTTTATAATAATGCAATCGGACCATGATTTCCAAGTGGGCCAAAACAATTAAAGTAGCAGAATATACAACTGCTGTGCCGGTTAATCAAAGCCTGATGTACTGATGAATTAGAGTTCCAGATTAGCAAAAAGCTAACGACACCGCCTTGTTGCGTGATCACACAGGCAGTCTAACACGCTTTAAAGCACTTGGCGATTGGGAAGACCAGGTACAGCAGGCATTTTGCACCATCCAAATACCAAGTGCATGTTCACAACTATCAGGAGCCTATGCTTGTTATCGCTATCTGTGGTTATCGGATGGAAGTGGATGAGATCATTAGGTACACTGGGAGCTTGATTCCAAGGGGGTACATGATAGATCAGATCAAAAATAATATACTTCGAACACGACAGCAAGCAAAATAATAAGGAAGAAGTGGGGAGCAAAGGTGGAAAAATGAAGGGCAACAGTTTATGGAGAACATGAACAACAATGTATTTGCTTCGCTCCAATCCACCTCTATCCCACAAACCTCAGATACTCGCCACATACTTACTTTATCAACTGCTCGGGAACGGCCATGTCTGAGAGAAATTGACTCAGTTCTCCTCGAACGGCCTAGTAAGTGGAACGCATACAAAAGCGAAGTGTAATTTACGATAAACTGAATAGATTTATTTCTGATGAGTAAAATGAATTCCACTGATCCGCATCCCACGAAAAACAACAACAATAATAATAATAACTGGTAGGCAAATNGCTAGTGGAATTGAAGCAGCAGCTGCATCAGGGAATAGTCAAAGATTGTTCCGACTGATACGCAATACAGGAGGTCAGCGAACCCGTTAGTGAAACAGTCTGCGATAAGAGAGTACAAGTTATTAAAAATAAGGATGAACGACTTGATCACTGGACAGAATACTTCAAGGAACAGTTGAGCTGCCCAGGCGCTAACCAGCTATCCACGGTGTAGCTGAGGCTCCGTGGGCAGTGTTAGCTGAACCTCCTACTGCAGCAGATGTTCGGTCTTGCATTCAAGCCCTCAAGAAAGAAAAGTCAGCAGAACCGGACGGGCTTCCTCCCACTCTTTTCAAGATGGGGGGCGATGACCTCGTAGACGCCATTACTGATACAATGAGTGACATCTGGTCACACGAGCGCATTCCATCATCCCGGAGCGAATCACCGATTGTTCCAATTGTTAAGAAGAGACCTCACAACGACTGCGCGATTTACCGTGGAATAAGCTTGATTCCAATCGTCACTCAGTTATTAGCCTCCGTCATACTTCGACGCTTGACACCGTTTAGGGAGACAAATATGCACGAACAACAAACAGGATTTGGACCAAATCTCCATATGCGTCAAGTCTTCGAGCTACGCCATACACACCGTCAACCAACCGTTGTCGTGTTCCTTGACCTAAACGGAGCCTTTGACTTAGTTGACCGCGAATCGCCAATGGGTTTGTTACCTCGCAAAGGAATGCCGCAGAAGTATGTGAACATACTGAGTTCATTCTACTCGCATGCCGCATCATGCACCTTGCACCTTGCAGGGTGTAAAGTGATTCTGCAAAACCGGATGTCACCAAATCCCCTTCTGAAACCAGACGGTTAGGAATTAGCTGGAGTTGACTGATCCCGTACTCGGGTAGCTACGTGACAAACGACGGTAGCGCATCAAAGGAGATAACCGTCCGCATTTACAACGCCAACGGTAGCTTGCTGGTATGTGGTCGATTTGAGTTAGTGTACCAGTTGAACTGGAGCGCCACGTTGCCGTCCGTTGAGAGCTGTGTCGAAAGTTTGTGCTGCATAGGAACAGATGACATAGGCATCAGCATCGGTTTAATGGTCCGCTTGTGATAGCACAGTGGTTCAGTGGACTTCACGGACGTGCTTTGGACCCCATGGTTCGAGATTCGGACCCCGCCACCACCACAACCGAATTTCGGTGGTTGCCAGCTTTTCCGTCATCCATTCAATACCACGCCTTAACTAACGGGGCCTCAATGGTTCGCCAGTCGGAGTTCCACAGCTCAAACTGCTGGTTTCTATCATTGAACAGCAGATGTTCGCGGCTACGTGATCCACCCAATCTAATGCATCTCACACGTATGTAATAGAAACGTAAGAGAGATCAAGGTACAGTTTGATGTGCCGGTCTTGGGTCGACACTCAGTTGATGAAGTCCGGTTGTGGAACCGCGAAAGGGTACAACACAGCACTAACCATTGGCTATAAAAACCTGTTATACATAAAGGGGAGACAATGGCAAAAAAAATTGAACTACAGTAAACGTAGTGAAAACAACGCACGTCCATGCGCGTACCACTTACCTGACGATTTTGCAAGCGCTTGTTCATCACAGAGGATTTCATCTGTAAGTCCTGTATCTCAGAGCTGATAGTGCCTAAATCCTTGTGGAAGTTGGACAGAATAACTTCCATACTCTGAAAAAGTGTTTGATTTCATAAATAGCACCTACCTCCAAAATGCTATCACATGAAGTAATTTGGTTGTGCAAGTTGGCCACCTCTGGACCCACTGATATGTCTAAAACGAGTACACATCAAATTATGTCACTGTCAATCAGACTAACATTTCTGAATTAGTGCTTCCTCCAGATCAACCAATTCAGCGTTAACTTGTAGGGCATATTCACGCAGATCGACATTCTATATGGTTAGATTTTCTTATTAACAGAAGCAAGCAGACATACAGATTTTAATGCGATTGCTTCCAACTCTAACCGCAAATCTTCTGACAACGGATCTGCAAAATCAATCCTCGAAGTGGTCGACAAACTCACCATCTGAGATATTCATAGCTCGTTGGCTTGTAGTTTCGCCTGTTTCTTGGTCTATACGGTAAAGTTTGATGTTCGGAAATTTCCGTTTTGGATTCGTTTATTCTTGTAATCTGAAAGTGTAAGCAAAAGGAGATTGGTAGGTTACTTTTAACGATGTTGCAGATTAGTTATTTGTGGTCAGTTAGCCGGACCGATTTGAACGCCTTACGAGGTGTACTGCGTGGAAAGTTCAGAGGTTCACCTAACATTACTTTGAGGGTACTCTAGGTTGCTGTCCACTGCCGAGTTGAGGCCCACGGCGAATTTATTTAGCCTCTGTTTGAAACACGGTCGAAGGCTCAGAGACCACTACCTCGGGTAATGAGTTCCAAGCGGATATGGCCCGGATGGAGAAATGTAACCGTCTGCTATTAGTAATACTCTGCTGGTCAAGATGGTCTTAGAGTGCCCTCGCAGTTGGTGGTGTGGCGATAGTGCTATTAGTTCGTTGTTCGGCTGACTCAGCGTTAATACTATTTTGTGTATCGATATTAATTCCCCTCTCAGCCTCCTGTAGGAAAGGGTGAAGAGGTTGAGCCGCTTCAGTCTGTCTTCGTAGCTCAATTGCGAAAGCCCGATGAATCACCTAGTGGCTCTGTTCTGAACCGCTTCCAGTGCTTTAATGTTTCCCACTAAAGTTAGGAGGCACGCTTCAACATTATATTCAAGGTTGGGTCTTACGTAGATTATATATATATATATAACATTATGAAGCACACCGGTTCCAGTCTTCCCAGGTTCCGGTTTATTAGGCTCTGCACCAGGCTGCTTCGTTTCACTAGCCTAGCGCAGTTTTGTGGGAAGTTTGGACGATTCGACAGAACCGACCCTAGGTGTCTCCTGTTCAACTACAATTAGTGGCCCCGAGTCAGGGCAGTATCTGCTGTCGGTTTCTCCCCTGACGTGTACTACATGGCACTTTGACTGATGTCGTAAACAGTGGCGTTCTTGCATCCCAACTCTACTTTTAACTTTCTTGTCTTCTCCTATTCATCATCTAAATGGGCAGCCAAAAGACCAACCAAAACAAGCGCACCATTGTGCATGGTTAATGTTTGTACAAACTGAACTGAACTCAATGCTAGACCATTTTCGATTCCCCATCGTCCGATCACATCTAAGTTGCGTTGAAGGATTACTCTGCCCTCCTCTTTTCTGATACTGCGCCAGATCTTGACGTCATCCACGTACAAGAGACACTTAGTTGTTAATAGTACCGCCAAGTAGTTGATAGAGTATGAAGAGCAACGGACCTGGTATAGATCCCCATGGTACTACACTTAGGACTAGGTGATGGCTTGAAAGCTCCCTGTTGACCCTCATCTGATAACTACGATCAGTTAAGTAGTCTCTCAGTCAGTTTAGCAACCTTTCCGTTATACCACAATCGATGAGTTTATCGCATACTTTCCGATGTGGTACCTTGGAGAAGGCCTTGTAGAAGTCTACGAATATAACATCCAGGATATTCCCTATGTCTGTTTCATTTGCCCTATCGTCTGTTGCCGTTGGAAGGTTTGTTAAGCATACCTGGCCCTTGCGGAATCCATGCTGCCGTGGATTGAGGAAGTCCAAGAGTCTATCATGCTTTCCATTAATTTTGAAAGTATTGAAAAAAGGCCTCCCGGACGATAGTTCTTTNGGTTTGTGCGGGATCCCGATTTTTATATCGGAGTTACAATGCTTGCTTTCCAATCACATGGGATTTTTCTTGTGTTCATGGATGCCGTAAACGGTTGTGTGAGGGGGGCACTTAGAACTCCTGCACAGTTTTTGAGAAGAACCGCTGGTATGCTATTCAGTTCAGTTCAGTCCCGTTCTCACAGGACGATTTGTGGCACTTGCCAATCGAGTGTCCAAATTCGTGTGTTGTCGGCGAGTTTCCTTGGCTTCCAACACTTCGATATACTATTTTTCTGAAAGGTAGAATAGTGTGGTGCAGTATCACATCCTTTGTGGCTCGGTTATGGGTGGTACTAAGCGCTTACCTCAGGGAAAACCGCTATCCAACACTCATCAATTGCGTTTATAAACGCATCTATAGTACTGCAGCTTACCACTGCTAGCGGCAACCGGTTTTACAACGGAATCACCCTGTTAATGAAAAACGTTGCCCTCAGTTGCAGTCTAGAGTGGCTTCGCTGCAAACGGGGGCTTACTCTCGACGGTGGGAGAAGTCTTCGCACTTCATTGGACAGCTACCGCCAGCCCAAGCTGG